CTTATATTCTCTATATATCTGTTTTATATTCTTTGCTGTTTTGGCTCTTTGTTTTGGCATATCTTTTGGTATTTAGGAAAGTTGTGTGGGTTTGTTTGTTTGCTTTGTTTTAGACATTAAGTATATTTAAAATTTTTTCTTTTTTTTTTTCTTAAGCTTATTTATTCATTTTGAGAGAGCGAGCGAAAGAGACCGCACAAGCAGGGGAGGGGTAGAGAGTGCTGCCAGCACTGAGCCTGATGTGAGACTTGATCCCCTGAATCATGAGATCATAATCTGAGCTGAAATCTGGAATCGTATGCTCAACTGACTGAGCCACCCAGATGCCCCTTTTCTTCTTCTTCTTTTTTTAAATTAAATGTTTATTTACTTTGAGAGAGAGACAGAATGTGTGTACATGCACGTGCAAGCAAGGGAGGGGCAGAGAGAGAGGGAGAGAGAGAATCCCAAGCAGGCTTCACATTGTCAGTGCAGAGCCTGTCGTGGGGCTCAATCTCTTGACCTGTGAGATCATGACCTGAGCTGAAATAAAGAATCAGATGCTTAACTGACTGAGCCACTCAGGCACCTCTGTATTTTTTTAAAAAAGTTTTTATTATTTAAATTTTAGTTAGCATTTAGTGTGATACTGGTTTCAGGAGTAGACTTCGATGATTCATCACTTACATATAACACCCTTTGTTCATCATAACAAGTGCCCTCTTTAATCCCCATCACCTATCTAGCTTATACCCCTCAATCTTCCTCCATGAGGCCTCAGTTTGTTTTCTATCTTTAGGAGTCTTTTGTGGTTTGTTTCCCTCTCTCCTCTTCCCCACCCCCTTCTCATATGTTCATTGTTTTGTTTCTTATATTCCACATATGAATGAAATCATACAGTATTTGTCTTTCTCTAGTTGACTTATTTGGCTAAGCATAATACATTTCTGGCTCCATCCACGTTGTCACAGATGGCAAGATTTCATTCTTTTTGACAGCTGAGTAGTATTCCGGTGTGTGTGTGTGTGTGTGTGTGTGTGTGTGTGTGTGTGTATGACATCTCTATCAGTTCATTGTCAGTGGACATTTGGGCTCTCTCCATAGTTTGGCTATTGTTGATAATGCTGCTGTAAACATTGGGGTGCATGTACCCTTTTGAATTTTTTTTTTTTTTTGAGTAAATACCTAGGAGTGCAATTTCTGGATTGTAGGGTAGCTCTGTTTTTAGTTTTTTGAGGAATGAGACATTAACTTTATATTAATGCCTTTTATAATTTTTTTGTTCCTCTTATTTAACTTTCTGTAATCTGTTTTGCCACTTGTAAATTGTTTCCTTTGATTTTCACTTCTAGACCATGCACTAGTCAGTGGATTTATTGTACTTTCTACTTCTGTCTTCTCTTATTTATTAATTGTATAATTTCTACATGAAAATATATATTTATGTTTTTTTATATTATGTCTTATATTATGTCTACCTTTGTTTTACTTTTTGTTCTAAAATTGGATATATTATTCACTAACTGTTCTCTTGCCAAAGTTTTTCTAATTACTTTTTAGTTAAATGATGCTTATTATTTATTAGATTTGTCAGGAAGGCCAGATTTACTGAGTTCTTGCACATTTTGACACTTTTTCTATAGTTTTCATATTTGAAAGACTGCTTGATGGGGTCTAAAAATCTTGCTTTGAAAATTTTCCCCGAGTTTCTTTAAAATGCTGCCTTCTTGGTTTGTTTTCTTTCTTTTTGCTTTAGTATGTTGCATTCAAGAAGTCCAACTTACTTTCTTTTTTTCTGTAGTAATTAGGCCTTTTTGTTGGTCTGAATGCTGTAAGAATTTAATGTATCTTTTAAGATGCAATAAGTTTAATACTACATGTCTGGAAATTGGTTGTTCAGGGTCCATTTTCCAAGGTAAATGGTGGATACTTTCAATATTTAGATTCAGGTTTTCTTTTTTGGTAAAGTTTTCTTTTTCAGATTTTTAATTTATTATTTATTAATGTTTGTTTATTTTTGAGAGAGAGAAAGAGCACGAGTTGGGGAGCGGCAGAGAGTGAGGGAGACACAGAATCCAAAGCAGGTTTCAGGCTCCGAGCTGTCAGCCCAGAGCCTGATGCAGGACCTAAACTCATGAACCATGAGATCATGACCTGAGCTAAAGCCAGACACTTAACCGACTTAATCAGGTGCCCACGATGCTCTGATTATCATACTTCATCATCATTTGTGGCTACAAAACCAAACTTAGTTATGTGAAGGATCATAATTCTGACTAAAATTAGAATGAAAATTTTGCCCTTTGTCTCTTCACACTTTGTTTTACTGCTTCTGCTGTATTCAGAAAGTTTTTTTTTTTTTTTTTTTTTTAATGACAGAAGTCAGTGAAGCTTGTTTTTAAATCTGTACTTAAGATTAAAAATAAATATGGGAACACATGGGTGGCTCAGTCGGTTGGGCATCCGACTCTTGATTTTGGCTCAGGTTATGATCCCAGGATCATGGGATCGAGCCCTGTGCAGGCTTTGTGCTGAGAGTGGAGCTTGCTTAAGATTCTCCCTATCTCCTTCTGCCCTTTCCCCTTCCCTCCCCCACATTCATGTTCTCTCTCTCTCTCTAATTAAAAAAAAATTTATTTTGAAAATGATATGAACTTTACTTCTTCTGTTTAATCATATTGAAGTTTTAAAAAAAATTAAAGTGATAATGTTAAATAAGTGTTTGCATTTTCTCACATATTTATAATTCTTTGGATTTTACTAAATTAAAATACCACATATTACAACATGGTCCTTTTGCAAATGACTAGGCTGCAGTTTTCACCATGGAAGTACACTTACCATGTGCTTGGATGTTTTGGCAATGTCAGAAGTTTCTAAGTGGTTACTCTCATTTTCTATGCTTATTTTGTTAGAGCAGTAACAAGCAGTGTGCTCATTTCTACTCATCTGTAGATCATATTTTCAGTAGCATTGAATCAGGCTTTACAATGACAAAATATTCTATTCTCAGCATTATTGTGCACATATCTTTGTTCTTGTGTGAGTGAATCTGTACTATAAGTTCCTAGAGGTATATTGGTGGACAAAGAGTGTGTACATTTATGATTTCAGAGGTTATTGCCAATTTGCCTTCTAACCATATTCCACCCATTTTATACCATCTAGCATAAGAGTACCTATTTCCTCACATAAAGTGATTTATAAAACATTTTCTTTTTACTATTACAGGTTTAAAAAAGTATGTGATTATTTTGATTTACATGTTCAAAGTGAGGTTGAGCATCTTTTCATATACTTATGAACCCCTTGTGTATTTTTCCTTACAAGATATCTTATTGTGTCTTTTGCTAAAGGGAGGAGGTTATTTTTTATTTTTTAAATTTACATCCAAGTTAATTAACATATAGTGAAACAATGATTTCAGGAGTAGATTCCTTAATGCCCCTTACCCTTTTAGTCCATCTCCCCTTTCCACAACCCCTCCAGCAACCCTCTGTTTGTTGTCTATATTTAAAAGTAAGGGAGGACAGGTGCCTGGGTGGCTCAGTCGATTAGGAGTCTGACTTCAGCTCAAGTCATGATCTCATGATTAGTGGGTTCGAGCCCTGCATCAGGCTCTGTGGTGACAGCCTACAACCTGGAGCCTGCTTCAGGTTCTGTGTGTCTCCCTCTCTCTTTGCCCCTCCCCTGCTCTCTCTCTCTCTCTCTCTCTTTCTCTTTCTCTCTTTCTCTCTCTCTCTCTCTCCCCCCCAAACTAAACATTAAAAAATTTTTAAAAAAATTAAAAGTTGGGGAGGAGGTTAAATATTCATCTTTTTATTGATTGTTAAGAGCTCTTTATATATAAAGAAAATTAGTACTTTTCCTAATAATTATGTTACACAGTTTTCCCCAGCTGTTGCTTTTTTTAATTTTAAGTTTATCTGTTAATTTTGAGGGAGAGAGAGAGAGTGAGTGTGAGTGAGCAAGGGAGAGGCAGAGAGAGGAGGAGAGAGAAAGAATCCTAAGCAAGCTTCACACTGCCAGCCTGGAGCCCGATGTGGGGCTGGAAGCCACAAACTGAAATCATGATATGAGCTCAAACCAAGCGTTTCACTCTGAGTTTCACTTAATCAACTGAGCCATCCAGGTGTCCTGGTCTGTTGGTTTTTCAGTGCTGATTTAAAATAAATGACTACACAATGACTTTAAATATACTCATTTTATTTACTTATTTTTAATTTTTTAAAATGTTTTATTTATTTCTGAGAGAGAGAAAGAGACAGCATGAGCAGGGGAGGGTCAGAGAGAGAGGGAGACACAGAATCCAAAACAGGCTCCAGGCTCTGAGCTAGCTGTCAGCACAGAGCCTGACGCAGGCTCGAACCCACAAACTGTGAGATCCTGACCTGAGCTGAAGTCGGACGCTTAAATGACTGAACCACCCAGGCGCCCCAAGCATATTAATTTTAAAATCTGAATCAAGCTTTCTCTGTACTTTAGTGCGTGTTTAATGGTATTATGCAGACGGCCAATATTTACGTCAGTGTCCATTTGACACATAATAGTGTCAGCATACTGTGCGTTTTAATTTTTATGATTTTTATTTCAGAGCTACATGTTTTCTTTTTTGTCCCATAAGGGATCTATTTCTGATGTTTTCTTTCTTTCTTTCTTTTTTTTTTTAAATGTTTTATTTATTTCTAGGAGAGAGAGACAGCGTGAGCAGGGGAGGGTCAGAGAGAGATGGAGTCACAGACTGAAACAGGCTCCAGGCTCCGAGCTGGCAGTCAGCACAGAGCCCGACGCGGGGCTCGAACCCACAAACCGCGAGATCATGACCTAAGCGAAAGTCGGAAAGTCGGACGCTTAACCGACTAAGCCACCCAGGCGCCCCATATTTCTGATGTTTTCTGTGAACATTTACAATAGCCTCTGATTCTTCAGAGGTTCAGTGGCCTCTCTTAGTTGTAGAAGATGTGGAAAGAGTACTACTTGTAATGGTAGCCACCCTGATGATATTTATTGTTTTGCAACAGGAACCAAAGGAAGAGAATGGATTGCAGAAAATGAAGACAAAACAGTCGAATAGAACAAAGTGTTTGGCCAAAAGAAAAATTGCACGTATGTCTTCATTTTTGTGTTGAGAATGCTTTGAAAGTTGCAGTAGAATTGATACTAGTTTCTTCATTAGGAAGAGATTTCTCTGATTAAGGATGTATGTGCCTCCTATTTATTCTGGATTCTTTCCAGATTTTCAGTATTCACCATTACCTACAGCTTATATTGTTGACTTATTATGGGTAGAGAGTTGAAATTAAAAATGTGAACTTCAGAGTTACCCATACTTGGATTTGAATCCTTGCTTCAGCCCTTAGTGTATAGTCTTTACAAATTAGTGCTTTCAGACTACCTCTGTTTTCTTTCTTTTTTTTCCCTCTTTTTTCTACCAGTAAAATACAGATATAACAGTGGCTCAAATAATGGTACCTATTATAATGGTACTATTTTTATCATGTTAAACAAAGTTCAACCAAGTAAATTTCAAGATCTAATTGGCTTTATTAAATGATTCATGAGTCAAGCAACATTCCGTCTAGCAAAGAGAGGAATGCTCTGAGGAGCTGTTTGAAATGGAAGCTTTTTATAGAAAGGGGGATGGGGCAAGAAAATTAATAGCAAAGCAAAAAAAGGATTGTTTCAGGCAAGATCATTTTGTCTTGCTGTTAAGGACAGAGGTCTTATTAGGTGGATTATGTCATTTTCCTTTGGGTGATGGAGAGAGTTTATGTGATAGATTATCTCATTGCTGCTTAATCAGTAAATTCCTGATTGACAGGTTAAGACTTACATTTATGGGGGAATTTGAAACTGTAGTTAGTTTAGATATTAAGCCCCGGTTTGGTGACTTGGTCTGGTACAAGTGACAGCATTTTGGGCCTGTGGGTTTTCCTTTTAACATTCATTAAAATTGTAAGGGAAACACTCTTCTGTGTGCTTCCTCTACTCTTAACACTTCATTGTGGTCATCACACATGTTGGGGGTTTTCCCCCACACCAAACAATTCTCCAGTTTTCAGTCAGACTCTGTCTGGTATCTCAGTTTAATTTTTTTTTAATTTAAGTTTTTTATTTATTTTTGAGAGAGAGAGATAGAGCACAAGTGGGGAACGGGCATACAGAGAGAGAGGGAGACACAGAATCCGAAGTAGGCTCCAGGCTCTGAGCTGTCAGCACAGAGCCCGACACGAGGCTTGAACCCACTAACCGCGAGATCATGACCTGAGCCGAAGTCAGATGCTCAACAGATTGAGCCACCTGGTATCTCAGTTTAACCAGTTCTGACACTGCCTGCCTGGAGATAGTGTCAGATCCCACAGGGCTGCCTCCACTTTTGAAAGCAACTGCAAGTCCAGGTCATTACCTGTGCATATGACTGACTGACTATCAAGCGGTTCGTTTGACCACCTTCTTGGGTTTGATTAATTTTCTAGAATGGCTCACAGTACTCGGGGAAGCCATTTACTTACCAGGTGACTGGTTTATTGTAAAGGATGTAACTCAGGAACAGGTAGATGGAAGAGATATAGAGGGCAAGATATGAGGGAAGGTCTGCAGAGCTTGCATGTCCTCTCTAGGTGTATCACCTTTCCAGTATCTCCACCAACCTAGAAGCTCTCCAAAGCCTGTAGTTTATAGATTTTTATGGAGGCTTCATTATGCAGGCATGAGTGATTAAATAATTGGCCATTGGTGATTGATTCAACTTCCAGCCAGCCCCTTTCCCTTCCCTCAAGGTTAGGAGACAGGGGTGAAAGTTCAGTCCTCTGATACCCTGGTTGGTTCCCTGACCAGGCTTTCCGAAAGTAAATGCATTAACTCAGGTATGGTTAAAAGGGATTGTTATTTTTTTTAAAAAATTTTTTAATGTTTATTTATTTTGAGAGAGAGATAGAGTGGGAGCAGGAGTGGGGCAAAGAGAGGGAGACACAGAATCCAAAGCAGACTCCAGGCTCTGAGCTGTCAGCACAGAGCCCGATGCGGGGCTTGAACTCATGAGTGGTGAGATCATGAGCTGAGCTCAACAGACTGACCCATCCAGATGCTCCAAAGGGATTGTTATGAATAACAAAAGATAACCTTTATTGTTCTTTTCACTCAAGAAATTCCAAGGGTTTTAGGAGCTCTATGCCAGGAACAAAGATCAAACATATATTTATTAGTACAAGTCACAATATCACAAAAATTTTTTGCTGTAGGTTTTGCTTTCCCTCTCTGATTTTGTACTCCATTGTGAAGTTATTTCATTATTATTTTTGGCGTTTTAATGTGAAGTGTTCATTTCAGTGAATTTTTCAAAAGATCTGAAAACTAGTTGAAATTATTACAAAAGTTGATTGAAAATAAACAAGGCTTTATTTCACTGTTAATTTGAATTTCAGTCATTTAGGGTAGAATTCTTAGCCTTGTAAAATTGACCGCAAACAATTCAGTGTTGTGAAATCATTGCATTATGTCTAGAAGTAGCTTGTCACCAGGTTAGAATGTACTCAAGTTATTTTCAGTATTGAAAATTGATAATAGTTATTTTTTGAGATGTGATAACCTTTATCAGTTGATGGTTAAGTTTATGTCATCATTGGTGGACTGTTAATAGTTGCCTGTTTGGCTATTCTGGATCTTTACAGTCAAATTGGATTTTACTTTTTTAATTTAGTTGTGTCATGTTTTTTTTATCTGGTTGGACAATCCTTTTTATCTGTTTAATGTATTCTGACAACTTTTGTCTTTTAATTGTCTTTTACAGTTACATTTATTTTTTTCTATTTTTAATATAGTTTATTGTTTTACAGTTACATTTAATATAATTATTGATGTTGCTGAATTAAAGTCTTATCATTTGAGAGCCTTTTTTTAATGAAAAAAAATTTTTTTAATGTCTAATTTTGAGAGAGTGACAGAATGTGAGTAGGGGAGGGGCAGACACACACACACACACACTCTCTCTCTCTCTCTCTCTCTCTCTCTCTCTCTCTGTCTCTCTGAATCTCTCTGAAGCAGGCTCTAGGCTCCGAGCTGTCAGCACAGAGCCCAATGCACGGCTTGAACTCGGTAATTGTGAGATCATGACAATGATCTGTCTTTTCTGTGCCATCTCAAGGGCTATTTATTTCTTTGTGTAGAGTCTAGTTTCTGGGCAGTTTCATTTTCTTTCTGCTGGAAGCTGGAAAGCTTTTTTTAAATCACTTTTTGTAATGTAGACTGGTTGCCAATCAATTAATCTGATTTTGTTTGAGAAAGTCTTTATTTCTTCATTTTAATGGGAACTATTGAGATACAACTCATGTACCATACAATTCATTCATCTTATAATACCTTGATTATTTATTATTACTTTTAAAATGTTTATTTATTTTGAGAGAGAGAGAGAGAGTGTGTGTATGATAGAGGGAGAGAGAGAGAACCCCAAGCAGGCTCTGCACTGTTAGCACAGGGCCAATGTGGGGCTTGATTCCACAAACCATGAGATCATGATGTGGGCTGAAATGGAGTTGGTCGCTTAACTGACTGAGCCACCCAGGCGTCCAGCTTCATTATTTAAAGTATAAAATGGTTTTTAGTATATTAACAGTGTTGTGCAACTGTTGCCACAGTATAATTCTAAAACATTTTCATCAGACCCAAAAGAAACCTCATGCACTTAACAGTCACTCAAAGCCTTTATCTCCCTCAACCCTCAGCAACCACTAATTTACTTTCTGTTTCCATAGATTTGCCTATTTTGGACATTCCATGTAAATGAAATTATATAATATGTGTCTTTTGTGACTGGCTTCTTTCACTTAGCTTAATGTTTTCAGCCATGTTTTGGCATAATCAGTACTTCATTCCTTTATTGCTAAGTAATATGCCATTTTATTGCTATTCCACATTTTCAGTCATTCATCATTTGATGGACATTTAGATTGTTTCTACACTTTGGCTATTATGACTGAAGTTGCTGTTAACATTTATTTGCAAATTTTTGTGTGGACACATGCTTTCATTTCTGTTGGTTGTATACCGAGGAGTGGAATTCCTGGGTCATACAGTAACTCAATATTTAATTATTTGAGAAACTTCCAGACTGTTTTCTAAAATGCCTATCTGTTTTACATTTCCGCCAGTGTTGTATGAGTGTATTCCTTCACATACTTGCCAGCATTTATTTTCCTTTTTATTTATTTATTTATTTATTTATTTATTAAATTATAGATACCCCAGTGGGTATGAAATGATCTCATTGTGGTTTTGGTGTACATTTCTCTAATGACTAATGGTGTTGATTATCTTTTCATGTGTTTATTGGCCATTAGTATATTTTCTTTGGAGAAAAGTCTTTTCATATCCTTTTCTCATTAAATTTTTTAATTATAAGATTCACATAAAACATACTATTTTAGTCATTGAAAAATGTTTTTATCATGGAAAAGGTTGAATTTTGTCAAATGTTTTTTCTGTGTCTATTAAAATGATTTATTTGGGTTTTGTCTTTTAAAAATTTCATTGATTTGGTATATTAATTGATTTTCTTATGTTAAACTAACTTTGCATTCCTGGGATAAAGTCTACTTGGTAATAGTATAGAATACTTTTTATACGTGGCTGGGTTTGTTTTGCTGGTATTATGTTGAGAATTTATTGCATCTACATTTCATAAGAGATGCTAGTCTATAGTTTTCTGGTCATGTCTTTGTCTGGATTTGGTGTCAGGTTAATATTGGCCTCAGGGAATGAGTTGCATTTTGGTTCCTCCTTTAGTTTTTGAAAAGTTGTTGTTAATTTTTTTTAAGTGGCAGAATTCACCAGTGAAGCCATCTGGGCCTAGGCCTTTCTTAGTGGATAGGTGTTTTTTGTGGGCTTTTTTTTTTCTTAATGGTTAGGTTTTGATTACTGATTCAGTCTCTTACCAGTTGTGGTTTTTATTCAGATTTTTCTGTGACTTCTTGAGTCAGTGTTGGTAGTTTTTGTCATTTTAGGAATTTGTGCATTTCCTCTAAGTTAGCAATTTATTGACATATAATTTTTCTCATAGTATTCCTTTATTGTCCTTTTTATTACTTTTTTAAGATTGTTAGGAATGT